ATATATAATATAATATATGTATATATATATATATATATACATATATATATATATATATATAATGTATATATGTATATATGTACATATGTATATATGTATATATATATACATAATACATGTAATATAGATAATAGAATAATATACATGCAATGGTAATAGGGACATCAAAAAAGAGTAAATAAATATATGAATCAAAAAAAAAAGAAAAAAAAACTAGGAAAGGAATTACAGCACAGCTGCAACCATCCCCAGATAAAAAAAGTTATGATCCTAAATATTTGGGTTAGAAAAACTCATAACTTCTAAACTTATCGAGAATTTGGAAACCACATAAGCTATGAACTTTTTATAGTGAAATGCCTTCAGAAGCATTAGTTGCACTATCGATATGTTGAATACTGCCATGCCATTTTGCTAAATCGTGTATACCGCCCTCTACAGATATTGGTTTGACGCTTTTAGGTAAATCACCGTCCGTTGGGATCGAAAGGTTGATTAATTCATTTCTTGGTTTTGGTGGTGTTCCATTATGAATCTGATCCTGTCGAAACGAAACTGAAACACTATTATCAAAATTTGTCAAACCATGTGAGATAGAATGGTGTCGCGGAGAATCTTGACAACTGGCTTCATCAGTGACATGAAAAATTAGAAGGTTCGCTGCTGTGCTTGAAACTGATTCTTCGTTGATTGGACCCAATTCGATATTTACATTTTCACTACTGTTTTCCTGAAGCAAGTCTTCTTTTAGTCTTATTATTTTGTGGAAATATGTTTGATTCTCCACCTTCATAAATATGATACTAAGAAAAGTTTCAGGACACCTCATTAATCTGTTGGGAGTCAACGACTTCCACTTCATGCGTTTTCAGTAAGCCATACAATAAAATTCCTTGCGTGTTCCCAAATAAAGTGCAGTAGCTGTGAAGAAATGTTTATTATAATAAATATTAAGGACCAAATATCACTCACCGATCTTTGCCTATGATGTCCGAATTGGTACTTTAACTTGCGCTGCTCTACTTTTACGGCAATACGCTTCTTGAAATTTTCAACACCTATAACTTATGATAATTGCACCATAAAAAATTTAACTGAAATTAAGTGTGTGAAACAAAAAAGAAATTATGATATTTCACTTCCTAGAAAGATAAAACTTGCTACCTGGTATGCGTATCAAAAACTCACAAAATATGCAAGAACAAAGTTATGAAGAACAACAAATTCACATTAATTACGAAAAGATGCATGATAGACATCAACATGTCGTATCTGTAGTCAAAAGTGTCGCTCTCTTATGTGAGGTATATCGCTGAGATGATCAGAAAGAATTTTGCCCCATCATATGGCAAAGATAAAAAGAGGATCGATAAAAAGAAGGAAAAATTCAAGATATATAAAAAGAATGACGGGTAGAATACCGATAAGATGATTCGTCCAGTAACAGCCGTAAGAAACGACAACTCAAACATTTACCAGCTGTAGGAAGGTAGAAATTAACGAAGTGTTTTACAAATGAATAAAACGTAACTGAAATGAACTTACTATCAGAGAAATTAAATCCTTTCATATCATCTTCTACAACAGGTGAAATATCCTCTGGCATTTTCTTTAGCTGCAAGGAAGCATTTGTTACTACTTCATTTCGTTTATGATTATCCAGTTTTTCAGGACGCACCCAATGAGCAGTTGACGATTCGTCATTTTTATGGAAGTTACTTTCAAGCAGGGTCTCGTTAATACTATTCGTTACCTGCAATAAAACATATGATTCAGTAGTATTTAAAAAAATGGATGAATGAGAAACAGTTACTTAATGACCTAGTTACAGCCAGCACAGAGAGCGGAGAAATAATAAAACATACCAGAATAACGTCCGCATAAAATTCATACAAAGCTCTTTGATGCACAGCATCAACAGCCTGAACAGCTAATTCTGATGCACCGTTGAATAATGCAAAGTATAAACCATTCAGAGATTCTAACAGATACTGCGACGAGATTCGCAATCTTGGTTTCCTGCAAAATACTTTTTTAGTAATTTTGCAAAATCAATTTCTGTTCTTTACGTTAAAACCAATATCAAGGAGTGCCTGAATTAAAAAGATCACTTTGTCAGCCATAGAAGTGATGGCAGGAGGAAGTAAAAATCACAGGTCATACGTGAGATCGTAAGAGCAATTATAATTGCATATTGACATTTCAACAGAACAATGCACTGAGGACTACGTTTATTCGAAAATCATGGAAATGCATTAATGAATTCCCGAGCAAAATAAAGTAGGAAAAATTTAAAAACCCAAGGGCTACCAACATACTTTGAAAAATCATCTGATTCTTTAAAATGAAAATTGCTGCCAAAAACTCGTAGCCCCAAAGCAGTTTCGCGAAAAGTAAACCCGCTTCGACAAATAGCTATAGTACTCAAACATATATTTTGACATATCACATCACGAGATAACCTACAGAGACACCCGTTCACCTGAAAAAGAAAAGAAAGTAATTTATAGGCTGGATCACTGAAAAAGAAAAACTGCTAGTTGTTCGTCAATTCACTTAAGAATCTATTTTTCATATTTTAATCAAAAACCAAGGCATGATTCATAAAAACTTACAGACTTTAATAGACGAGTCAATACTGTTTGCCTATTTTGTGGAATAATCCTATCTACCGACTTGTAAGGACCGATCCGTACAGTTTTCTGCAAATTAAATAAGCTAAAGAACATAAGAGATACACAAGTTCCGAAAAAGATATATATATATATATATATATTTTTTCAGCAGCATTTTATTTTAATCATTTCTCTCTCTTTTTCACTCTCTCTCTCTCCCTTATATATGAAATTAAAATAAGGTGCTCAATTGCTTTGTAAAATGAAAATTCTATTACTTGTACAAATGCGGGTGTTCCAGGTTTCAAGACAATATCTGAGGTAAGACTGAGCTTCTTTGGATCATGATATACACTCGGGAAACGTGTGGATGGTATCCGAATCTTGAAAATATGTGGGATGATTCAGATATTAAGAAGAGAGAACAAAAAGATTAAAGCTTATTGCAGATATGTTTCGAAATTACTGGAAAAAAATAAAACTTGTACTATAAGGGAATTCGACGTTAAAGTGCCACTTTTGAAGTCTTCGAATAAACAAAAAATAAAAGAATCGTATTGTTCTGCTTTAAGATATCTACTGTTGCAATACCTATTGTGTTCACTCCTTATCCCAGTCCATAATGATTCAGCAACTTAACAAAGAAAAAGTAGGAAGTTTTCTGTAACACAAGTCACATTTTAGCAGCGAATGTATTTCAAAAAACAACAGGAGAGTATCAATCTTTGCTATTATTGATCCGTATATTAAAGACTATTAAGAGAGTGACCAAATGATTCAACAAATTGAAACTTATAAATTAAAAAAAAAGCAGAGGACAAAAAAGCAATGAACTTGACTTTACAAAATATTTACTTCTTCTACTTTTTTTGTCATTGAATCGGATAAAACACCACCAGCAAGTATTTCTTCATTGTACATAGCAAGAAAGAACGTTTCAAACATGGAAACTGATTTCCTTTGGCGTTTAGCTAGTGCCAAAAGATAGATATGTATTAATGATGGAATGCACTGCAACACGAAATAGCGTAATATACCTGAAATTGATTATCTGAGAAAACTGTAAACATATCTTTCCTTTCCTGAGTCGTTTAGCTATGTACAGAAAATGAAGCATATTTTATGTCAAAAAGACGGTAAGTAGAACTAAACCATGTTTGCAAGCTGTATCCGAAACATATAATCTTCAATTTAGTGAAGTAAACTGTTTAATGTTCTAATGTGATCACGGAAAAGATGAATTTTTCAATTTCATTTGGTTCCGAAATTTTCGTTTTGATATTCATTTCTATGATAAAAAGCAACATGAAAAATAATTGATATTTGAATATTCGTAGGAATTATATTTATCATTACCGCTTAGGATGTTAACCCACAACCACGTTCTACAACGTGCATGAAATGATGCCTAGCAAATCGAACTGTGCCATTTTTTATGAAGAAATAATCAACAGTTCGATCCAATGTGTCTCAAACCATGTTTATTAGTTTAAAATTATACAGAAAAGTAACCTCCACGATAATAACATGCAAGAAGTTGTGCTACAACCGGCTGTATCAGGTCAACATCAGCGTAGTTACAACTGAGATAGCTGATTAAATAGTGAGTTTTATGGTTTTCATGAGTTAACTGTGCCCGTTCATATTCCACATCTTTCAATGCCTGCTTCGCTGTATCACTTTTCCATCGTTCGTTCAAATCAGTGAGCCAATCTTGTAATTGGTCACTATTCATTGCAGCTGAAAAACTATTAGGATAAAGACAATGACCCATTATTAGTATCGATAAACGAAAGATAACGAGTTGCGATGCGTAATCGAACGATCTCATGGTAATTCCAAATGGACATATAAAGAGCAAGGAAATCTCAAATTTACCACTCTAATATCGACGAAGGTAAAATATTTAAGGAATACTTGCTTGAATAGAAAATTTAAAACGAAAAGAGTAATTTATTCATTTACACGTTGAATATATCGTTAGCACTTTACTGATCAGCCCTGAAAAGGACCACTGCACGACAAAGTCACTATCCGCCAAAGCATTTCATCCAATCATTTTACACGCAAATTCTACACTTGTACTCTTATCTTTCTGTAAAACAAAATTCAATGAACTCTCAGCACCGGTCAAAGGTCAAATCACAACGGCAGTTCAAGAGAGGACTAACTGCAAACCAAAAATTTCAAAAGCCCTCACCTCCCTGTTTCCAGTCAAATCCAAAAATGCAAAATAATTAACACGGCCATGCAATGAAGCAATGAAATCTCATGAGTAAAGTAATTTAAAAATGCAAAGCATATGAAAAGTATGATTGATTAAATTTTGCAAAAATTAAATGTAAAAAGTGTTATTTGATTTCAAAACTTTCCACATCACTTCAAATAGCATTTGAAAACAAAAAATAGAAAAGAGATAGAATAAAAGAAGAGAAATAAAGTATTACAATGATATTTTGTTATTATTGTTTGGATGACATCAATAAATCTCTAACCATTAACTTCTTGCTAATAGTTTTTGTTATAAACGCTAACAATTATTTGTGAACATTTCATCTGACGTCATCACAATTACTTATTCTTCCATTCATCCACTGTTTATTCATTTTAATTCACTTTTAATAGGAAATAATTTATTCCAACAATTATTTCGAATTAAATTTTTAAATTTTTCTGTTATTACAGAAAATTTCCTGTCAAAGCAAATATTATATTAACGAAATCTCAAATTAAATTTTAATTAAAAGAGAAATTTTCGATGGATTGAACTTGAAAAAATTATTTCTTAAATTGCATTAAATAACAATAATATTTGATTATTTTGCATAAATACTTAGCAAATTTTAATGCATTCTTTGTGATAAAATAAAAATTCGATTTGTAAAAAAAAAACGTAAAAAACGCAATAAAACATAAGTTTAGGAAAACTGAAGGAATAAAGAGGAAGGATGACAATAACATGTCACTTGCAATAGCTATTGCTATGACAATGATAGTTGACGTCATTCTATAATCTGATTGTTGACACTTGCCGAAAAATTTTTAATTTTTCTTTTTATCTTTATCTTACTATATTCATTGTAATTAAATTAGGGATTTGAAGTCTTAGCATAATCATGATAATTAAATCAAAACTAAATTACCTGATGTTTTGGTGCATTCATGGTAGTTAAATTCAAACACTTAAATTCTTAGCATATTTATGGTAGATAAATTAAAATATCTGAAGTCTTAATATATTTGTGATACTTAATTTTGGAAAAGAGAAATTCGAATTTCAAAATTAAGTCACAGAATTGGTAATAGAAAAAAAAATTAGCAATTTACGAAAAGTTTATTTGAATACTTTACATTAAAAATTATTTTTTCATCAAATTATTTTGTTAGTTTCTTCCAAAAAAATCTTCAACTCTGTCTTTTTTTCTTTTTTTTGGCCAACTTTCTTTCATTTCACACTTTTTCGATATTCCAAACATTAATTTACATTTTATCACATATCATTCTAACAATTATATTTATTGATAATTGCTTATTTTGCTATTAATTCTTGTCAATTTTAGCCAAGTATATCTTCTCTATAATTTTATCACTAATTATACCTGTGAGCTATTTCAATGCAACAATTTCATGAGTAATAATCGATATACTAGTAAATTGGAATTCGAATATTCGTAACCGGAATCGTAATATTGATAAATTATAGTCGAGATATAAATAAGTTACAATCAGAATACCAGTGAATTAGAATCCCGAAATTCGTAAACCGATATTATAATATCTGGATTGGAATCAATGGATGCCAGTAAACTAAAATTCAAATATTCATGATCGTAATATCAGTAAATTACAATCGGGATATAAATAAATTAAAATCAGGGTATCAATAAATTGGAATTCCGATTTACACTTCCGGTTGCAATTGAACAAAAATAATTCACCACTGCTAAGTAAATATTTTGTATTGAATAATACTTTTATTTGCAAAAAAAAAAAAAGACGAATGATTTGGACATTTTTCCGGAAAAACATAAGTTAAATGTTAAGTGAACTTTAACCTTTTAGTGATATTTACCATGTTTTGGTGGAATTTTGTTATCACTTCACGAAATATAATGCAAACATTTTGAAAATGTTAATGAGATGAAAATTTCAACATTAAGGTATTTCGATAGTGTATAGGTCAAAAATCAAGTTTTCGTTATTTTTCAAAAACCAAACATTTCTAGAAGAAGATTCAATCGGAATGGATTAGTTACTAAAAAGTGCAAATAATTAAAATTTAATAAATTAAGAGAAGCCGAATATCTAATTTTATATTCAATTTCATATTTATACTCAAATATTAATTGAATGTCAATATACTACATTTCCAATTTGCTTTACTTTATCTATCATATAATTTGATTTATCGAAATTACTTTATTTCATATTTTTTAAATTCAAATTTGTCCAAAAAATAATTATTCATTCAATAATAGGCATATAAACCAAATGATTGTTAGCATATATTTTGTTTTGTTTATACGAATTTATTCATTAAATAGCCCTAATTGATTAATCAATGTCTAACTACTCATACTATTATAGTTTTCAGAAATAATTTCAACTTTTTTACCACATATTTTTCATTGTCCAATTAAAATTTTCAATGTACTGTTAAATTAAATTAAAATTTGAACTAAAAATGTACAATGTATTATGGTTTCCATTGGTTATTTTTCATATGATTAAATAATTAAGTATTTTGAATAGAAAATAAATCAATTTGAATGATGAAGTTAAATGATCGGATTGGATGAAATAGTCAAAGTTTCGTAAAACTTTAATCAAACCAATAATTCCTGTATAATATTTCAATCACTAATCGATTATTAATTAATCACTTTTGTTAATCAAACTTACTGAACAAATTTTGAAAATTTCCAATTTTCTAATCACAACAATAATTAATTTCAATATAATTATTTACTATTAATTAGCCTAAAATTTCGTAGTATCTATCTGCATCTTAAGCATCTACCTGCATTCATACCTGCACCTTAATTAAATCGCATGTTTACAACTCTAATTAATCGATAATTCTATTATTCACTTTTAAGAGATTTTAGTTTTTTTTTAAATTATTTTAATTCAAGTAACAACTTTGCTACATTTTAATGCTAATGTACTTTATCAATTCATACTTTTATTCTGTTGCAGATAATATCGATAAGACTAAGATTAATTAATTGCATGTTTAAATTTGCAGGCATATAAAACTGTTGAAGTATTTCATCAGTAAGGAATTCTTTTCCCTTTAAAGAAAATGACACCGAGTTACTTAATTATCGGCAAATTAATTAATTAGTTTTAAAGCATGTCCGTTACTTTTCTCAACTCTTTCATTCGTGACTTAGTGTAAAAGTAAATTTTTGTTCCTTGTACTTTTATTCAAAAAAAAGTTTTAAACTTAAATGCATTACAATTCATTTTAAAGTTTTTTTC